GGATTAAAGAAGGGTATAACATTTCTGCATGATAGAAAGTTGGTGCCTCTATAAAGCTTTGCTTTCATGTACATTTATACTAAATAGTTTCTTAAAGCGAAGACCCTCCTTTTCGTTTTTAAGCATGACTTGGGCAGCTCTAGGAACCCATAGATTCCTGCAAGACTTCCCAGGAACCCATGAAGGAAAGGTTTTGAGGTACTTGAAATATATTTTGAAGATAGTTGAGCACAAAATATGAAATTCGAGATCTGATGGATTCTTAGATGTTCTTTAAAAGGTTCCTCTAGTGTGGCGGTCAATTATACTTTCATTTGGACATTATGGACTGTTAAAAAAGGGATAATTGGGGTTCTATGAAGCACAGGGTTCTTCACTCAACCCCAAAGAACCTTTTATGATAAACAGGTTCCATAATGTCAAGAAAGAACCCTTTTGGCACAAAGGTTCTTTAGTTTATAGGCTATTACAGCGCATTCTCATCCCAAGGCGTCATATACAACGCTTTTGCCAAAGCGTAGACATCCAATGCACATGTCACCATTTGGCGTCAATATAACACGCACAGAGTATGGTTAGGGTTAGACCACTAGGAGGCGCCTTCAGTCCCATATTTATCTGCGTCTCATATACCCATTTTCCACCAAAAAAGAACTGGTTCGGAACTGGTGCTGGTTCAAATTTGGTTCAACTTGCGAACCGCTTCAGAACAGTTTGTTTTTCAAAACAGTTTGTTTTTCCACTGACTTGAGCGCCCAGGGAACGACGTCGTTACGTCACTGTGTACGTCGCCATACGTAGAAACGCTTGCAAGTAACATTACTTTGGGATTATCTCTAACTCGTGTACCAAGAAGGGTTTAAAAACAATTGAAATATGTAAGTCTTTTAATCTTTTCGTTTGTTATGTAATCTTTTCTGATAAGTTATGTACCCCTGTCTTGTGTCTTTTTTTCTTTCCATTTATTTGTTCTACATTGTGACTTTTCTTTTCTGCTTATAATGCCTTCAATAAAAAAAATTACAAAAATAGAAACGCTTGCGCCAACTTCAAGCATAACAATTACAAAGGCGGACTCCATCGTGTTTCTGCAAATGTTTCTCCTGGATTTGCGATCCTTTATTATGGTCAGAAAAAGATGTTTAGAACACATCTAAACCCGCCCCCAGCCCCCGACGTAAGCATGACGTGGTAAAAGAACGGTTCTAGTCCAGCAAAGAGTTGGTGCCGCTTTGGAACCAGTTCTCCTGGCCGAGAACCGGTTCTTTGGCTGTCGAAACACAAAGAACTGGTTCGCGCGCAGGCACTGGCTCCGAACCGGCTCGCAAAAGGCTTTGGTGGAAAAGGGGCTAAATTGACGCTAAAGGGTGCCATGTGCGTTGGATGTCTACACTTTGGCAAAAGTGTTGTATATGATGCCTTGGAATGAGAATGGGCTGGCTATTATTCATTCATATATTACATTATTCTGCAACCTTTGGTAGTTGTAATTAATTTATTGTTTATTAAACTGTTGTAGTAACTTAATATCACATTTTAATCATGCTGATTTTTGGAGGAGAAAAACTAAAATGGCACTCTTCATGTGATATTGATTAATGCACATGTATTCATAAATACATTTTAGGGTCTTGATGTTTGTCAATAATATGAAATATTTAATCCGGAAAGGACAAAACAAATAATAATGAATGAACCCAAAAGGTTCCATATAGAACCTTTTTCCTGGTTACAAAGAACTCTTATTACTGAACCCTTAAAAAGGGTTCTGTATAGAACCTTTTTGGAGTTCCAAATACATAGCGCTGATAGAACCTTTTATGGTTCTATATAGAATCTTTTCTTCTGTGACCAACAAAGAATCCTATATTAAGAACCTTTTTTGGTTGTTTTCCAGAGAACAACTATAGTGTTGGCCCAGATCCGGCCCACATCTGGTAGGCATGGAATCAATATGTACAGGATCTGGGCCGACACTAAAGCCCCTTTCACACAGAAATTCAGGAAAAAACACGGATATGTGACCCGGCATTTGTCCTGGGATTGTTTGATTTTGGTTCATTCACACTGCTAGTGATTTGCCAGGATCTGTGAGTTTGTTCACACACAACCCGTAAAGATCCCGGAAAGACAGCCCATTCTCACTCCCAAGGCGTCACCTAACTGACGCCTTGGGAAGCATTTGGACATGCTTCAATATCTGACGCTTTAGGCGCCCTTTAGCGTCAGTTAGATGACGCCCTAGGATCGCGTGTACCCTACCCCCACACCTAAACCTAACCGCGTCCTCTAACTGACGCTTTCCTTTAGCGTCAGTTAGATGACGCCTTAGGATCGCGTCATGTAAGTGACGCTAAAGGGCGCCTAAAACGTCAAATATTGAAGCATGGTCAAAGGTGACGCCTTGGGGTGAGAATGCGTTGGGAAAGACACATGAGACGTATGCGTCGAAAACATGTAAACGCGCATACCGTTCCACAAAGCTAGTGACCAGGATAGAGCTCCTGGTCTCTCCTTCATACCAGTTTGCAGACATTTGTTCGTCCTTTCTTTGATGACGAACACAAACTTTCTTCTAAGAGCAACAGTTGCGCGATGGCACGAGCGTCATCACTATGACACACCCCTTACGGCTTTTGTTCATATAGGCACATTCGGGACTGATCCCTGCAATGTTACTAGGTCCCGAACCTGGCATCGATGCCGGTATCAATCCTGGGTCGTGTTTGCGTTCACACAGAAATCGTTCTGCCAATTTCCCGGGATCAACGCGTTGTTTGAAATGGGCTTATGTTGCTGTCTGAAGTTGAGCTATACTTGTTTTTGGGGGAAATGAAAAATGTTCTCGATGTTACATTATAGGTTCTTCAGATTAGAATGCTGATTTCTGAACTGTGAGCACAAGAACATAGACGTTTTTACAAGAAGTAGGCTAGCTAATAAATGTTCATTGTGCAATTATTATCAGGCTGAAAAACCCTCCTTTAGCCTTCTAAATTGCGTGATTTTCCTTATGAATAGAGCTTTTTACCGTTGTCCAAGATCCGTGAGGTTTTGTTGGATCATTATGTCAGTAGTAGTAGCATTAAGGATTTTTGTTGCCATTAAACCTGCAAATAAGACGAGAATCAATGAGGCTAATAAACCACAGCACTCCTTTTACGTTATATATACGCAAATACCTCAGCATACCCCGTTCGTTTCATATCCTTGTTCAAACACATATAACTATACAAAATGTCAACCAACATTTCACACAGTGAATAAAATCCTTTTACTTTTTTGACTAACTGGCGAGATGGGCATGGAAGTCTCCGGAGCTTTTTTTAGCGAAAGCAGACCCCTGTTTTGACTCAAACGGATGAAGCTTCCATTAGCGCGGCTAGAATTCCGCCTTTTTGGACGGCGTCTTGGACTTTCTGCCACGGCTAACCACTCAGCAGCTGATGCTGATCATTAGTAGGCAGAACATGCAGTTGTGGTCTATGAACGTGGAGGGAGACAGATTCTCACCGATACATGGGGCAGACTGCAGTTGCGGAGAACAAAACTGACAAAAACATCACAGCCGAATGGTGGAGTTCAAAAGGTCGAACTATATTAAGTGTTCTATTTTGTGACAAGTTATGAAAGAAAAGTTAATCTGACAGTAAGAACACATGGATATAAAAACGTCTGTTATGCTAAATTTTGTTTACTACAAGATTTTGTTTGGTACTGACTTTTTGTCTATGATGTGGACTCATGTAACCAATTAGTTGTTCCCTTCACAGCATGTTGTCAGTGAAATATGTTGTTTTTTTATCACTCAAAACACAAGAAATAAATATCAGATTGAAAGTCGCAGTTACGTTTGTACTGAAAAGGGCTTTCATACTGAGACTAGTTTCTAAATTCTTGGCTGTATCTGAAATCGTATACTTCCCTACTATAGTCTAGGTGAAAAACAGTAGGCCTATGTGACAAGAGTAATTCACATTACTCATTAAAGAGTTGGCACTCGGATGACTGGTGAGATTCTGAAGTGTGCATAGGACGGACACTTTACCCATGAGGCCACTGGAGAGGATTTATGAATTGAGGTGATGTGATGCAACTGGAGGTGGTAGGTCACATGATAATGATAAACACGACACATAATCAAACTTCTTTTTTAGCCGTCTTATTACCTACTCGACTCGAGAGAGTATGCTATTTCAGATGCAGCCCATGTTTCAAGATGGAACAGTCTTGTGAATTGTAAAAGAAAAAATGCAATCGCCAATTTTTGATATGATGTCCAACCCAGTCTCATGAAAGAAACGTGCCTGTGGTAATATTTCTGCAAAATGATATTATGTTGCTTTTTGCGCGTATCGCGGCATTTTCGTGAAATAGCACCAAACATGTGTTCAGTTTTCGCCAGAACAAAAACGAAACACGACTGTGGAAACATTCCCAGATGCCTTCACGTACCTGTATCACGGCAGTTTGGAAATTATTTGTCAAGTGATTGCCGCTAAAAGTTGAATTCGCTATCTATGTTAAAGCAAAAGTGTAAGCAAAAGCAAATTGTAATACATTTGAAATGTAATTTATTCCTGTGATGGCAAAGATGAGCATCATTACTCCAATCAGCGTGACACAATCCTTCAGAAATAATATGCTGATTTGCTGCGCAAGAAGCATTTCTGTTTATATAAGCTAAATGTTTAATATTTGTGTTGATTTTTAATGAATGGAAATCTTTATAAATGCCTTTGGTGATTTTTAAAAAAACATCGACTGACCCCATACATTTGAACAGTAGTAAGCTGGCTACTCACAGGAATTCGTACGAATTTTACGAGGTGGCTAATTCGTAACAATTCGTACGACCTCACTCGTACGAATTAGTACGATTTTGCTAAATCGTACATATTTTACGAATTAGCCAATTCGTATGAATTCGTACGAATGACCTACCCCTGACCCCGCCCCTAAACATAACCGTCACGTGGGTTTAGACAAAGTGAGGTCATAGGAATTAGTATGAATTAGCCACTTTTGAATCACTCGTACGAATTTGTACGAATTGGTCGTGAGATAGCGTAGCAATAAATTAGCAAACAGACCATGCCATAATTATACTGAAAGCTTTTTGAGTGTTTCTTTGTCTTAAGAAAAAGACATTTTCTGAAAAGTAAGGAATAAAAGCTGCCATTAGTGTTAATTTCAGACGGAAACTGCAGTGAATTATAGGTTTTGCAAAAATCTAGGCACATTTTTCCAGTAAGACTGGGTTGGTGATATCAATCAGAAATCTGCAATACAAATAGATGCAGTAAATACCTAGTTAACTCAACAACAACATTAATACATAACCTGTACATCATAACAGCATTGCTTTAAACATTACTGGGTCTTAAGCTGAGCCAGAAGACAGAGTAATAAGTTAATGTACTGTGCGACAGTACTCAGAAAAACAAAACAGACAAACAAGAACATAATAACATTTAATAAGTCCCCATCAAATGCAGATGGCACAGCATTGCTCATGAGGAAGAGTCCAGCTATGTGGGCAGCATAGGGAGGAAATGAGTAGATGGGTGTCTCCGTCTAGCTTTGTGTCCTCTGCGAGGTTTCCCTCGGCCGTTCAGCGACACGAACATCTGCCTCCCCCGGTGCTTCCAGCGCAGTGAGGCGTAGGTGTTGTAGCCGTTCTCTTCGATGCGCTCCTTGAACTTGCAGCTGGGGTTGTATCTGACCTGGAATTGGTCAAATGAAGAGTGCAGGATGAGTTACTTGTTGACAGCATCAACCTAGTTTTATTATGCATTATTATTATTATTATTTTACACTGTTCTTGTTTTAGTTGTCCTTTGTTAATTTTTTTACTTTAGAGGACTAAAATGCTATGTAATTTAATTGATTCAAATATGTAAATGTGCGGATTGACCTACTAATCACTGCATTTGCCTGTAGTGGCAAGAGGTCATTTTTATTAAAACAGTATACAGTACCATATGGCAAATAAATAAATAAAATATTATCTGAACATAATTTCAAATATATGCTAAATATATGTTGTAAACAGCGAACATTTTCGGCTTTTTTAATTGGCTATATAATTTCCTTAACATATTATTTTGCATTTTTTTTTTGCCAAGTTTTAGATGAAATATTAATTAATTTAAATATTAATGTTAATATTAATTTGAAAATTATTTTTCATATTGTGTATATAATTAAAATATACATATTTTAATTTTTCAAATTAAAATATAAAAATAAATACTATGTACTGTAAAATGTACTGTACATGGCAAGACAATAAATTTTCAATTGTAAAATGTATTTTTATTTAATATATATATATATATATCTATATATATTTGAAAAAAAAATCTATGTATTTACATTAAAAATATATTACAAAACGGGCAAAAATATATTATTGTTAATACTATTATTATTAACAACAACAATATTTTTTATAGTCTTTCTTAAAGTCTGCCAAATTGGAACAACTAATTTTGTACTTAACACACTTTAGTTATCCAGAAATAGTGCTGTGGTTCAACCAAATATATTTAATTGTGCTAAAATGGACATATACTGCAAGTATACTTTAGATACACTTTAAATATCTTGCATTTAAAGACTGACATTATACAGTGATAATACTATTCTTAATAATAATGACATTAAAACACATTTAGGCTTAGTATGTGAAGAAATGTGCCTTGTGCAATATAGAATTACTCCAAATAAAGTTTAATTATAAAATTTATATCAGTAAGTTTCAAGCGATTTGTCAGTAATGGATTTGTACTAAGTGTAGATCCACACCCCAATATTCAGGTCAGCCATTTTATTGAAGAGTGAGTAATATCCCAAACATCCCATTGTGTTCGCATTTGTATTCATCTCAACCAGCCTGTCATTGTAAATCAACCGTCACCGTCTCGCATGGGCTCAAAAAGTTGCCTGATGACGAAGCCAAAAGAGCTTTACCCCTCTGCCAGAGCTGGATAAAGCTATTAGCTTGAAAAGGACAAAAAGGATGATGACAATAACACTTAGAGTTCCGATGGAGGCAGCTTTAACCCACAGTCCGATAAGATCACTGCAGTGGAATGAGTGAATGTGACTAATAATCATTCAAAAGAGTAAGAAAAGAAGGGTGCTTAGGCCTCGAGTGATTCCCAAGGTTTGTCATGTTTACTCTAGGGATCGGAGGACAGATATAGCCATCTGTAAGCCATCTTATCATGGCTGGGTGACAGATTGCCAGGGTGAGATTTCTCAGAGCGCAGTTAAAACGCACCATGCAATGGGGCGTCTTCATTAAACAAGCCACAAACAACTGTCTGGTGGCACGCACTAACTTCACAAAAACGGTAAGTGACCGCAGATTCCTGTAATGACGTTAAATTAGAGTATTAAAAGTCCAAAATTAAATTCCTGGATGACCCACATGTTTCAAATGTCTGTGATTCACAAAAAGATGCGGAAACACTGTCATTCGATGTACCTACCGATCCGAAGAGCGTTCCCTTTTTGGACATAGCTAAGTACAGGCCGGTGCTGACAGATTTGATGGCGACAACTCCCACACTGACAGATCGGATTTCCATCAGACCTGAGGAGGGGGAAAAGGAACAGAAGTCTGGTTTAGAAAGGGTGAGTTTCTCCATCAAAAGCCACTCTGATTAGAACACCAGACATCCATATGCTCAAGGGATGGGGTTTGTTTCATCCCAGGACAAGAAAAAACAGGACACACTACAATAGGCCAGTTTGAATGATGCTCTTTGTGAATCCCCGAAGAACAACCTTTCCAGACATTTAAAAAAAAAGTGGCACTTATGGCCTAATGAATGAAAGTGTGGAAAACATTGATGATACGTTATATCTAATCAATACAATTGTGACAACAGATTACCAGCAATATTAATTAAATTTAACAAATTATAACTGAGTAATAATTAATCAAATTAAATTTACACCAAAAAAATAAACAAAAATATCTGAATAACAGATGAAAAAATTGAAGACACCTGAAGTTAACAAGCAGAATCACTGAAGGAGAAAACCGTCATTTTAAGTCACCATTATGGTGATCAGTGTTTGTTTTAGTTGGGTTCTTGTCTATTTTATTTTGTTTGGCTGATATACCCGAGTTCTAGAAATAGAAAAGGTTATCTGATGGTGTTGGTTATGTTTTAACATAATATTATTTCACAATCATTTGACTGGTTAACTTTTTGACTAATTATTACTCAATTCTAATTTGTTAAATTTAATTTTTACAGTGTATGACCAGTTTTGGGGGTAACATAATAACGTAACAAATGAGGTCTTATATGACGAATTTGGAACAGTTGGTGTTTTTACTGAATGAATTTTGGCATTTCACTGCTGTTTTCCGGTTATGAATTTTTCAATATGTGCTCATTGACGTCTTTGACTGATCTTTTGCGGAGTCTCTCACAAACATTTCAACTATGATTATATCTAAAGCAATATATATGGCAATTTAGTTTCAGACTGATTGATGTCCATCAAGCAAAGATCGTCTAATGCTGTTTTTGCTCTGAAATGGAGGCTGGTCCTTTTGTCATGACAATTAGGACAGATTGTTTTGGAGATGACCTGAGATTGTCCTGAAAATCTGTGAAAAATGCTTGAATGCATTTTCTTGAATGCTTTCTGAGAGTGTTCCTCTCCATTACATCACGTACTTCTTAATGTCTGATGTTATCTCTCCAGAGCATCCATTACTTTTTAAGGCTCATAAAAAGCAGCTTAAAAGGGGGAAAAAAGACAAAACGCTCCAAACCATTTGGTGTCAGCTGGGGTGCCTCTCTAATACTGCAAGAGGAAACGGTGCAGACAAATCAGCTGTTGGCTTTGGACTGTAAACACTTTAACACATCAAGGTGCTGAATGAGATGTTGACCAAGTGCCAGTTAGGAAAAAAACACAGGAAGGCCGTTCTGTTGAACACACATGTGTTGCAGGTGGCAGACCGAAGAAATTGGGTTTGGGATCCTGGTTAAAGCTTTTCAGCTGTGACTGAGTAAACCCTTGCCGTCAGGTTTGAGCAGGTGTAGTCATTTCTCAACAGCCATTTCTTCCAGTTTAAACTCATTGACTAATTATCGTCCGCAACTTTGTGGCACATCCTGGGATGAATGTACTTGTTGAGTTATACACGTTTTATTATGATAAAAACACTGTTCTATCAGAAAATGGAAGCCTGGAAAATGGAATAGAAAAGGTAGTGATAGAGTAATATATCCTTGACCGTATGTCATTTCCAATGGGTTTGGAAATTACTGTAAATGACCAACCCGATCTCACAGGAATTCGTACGAATTTTATGAGGTGGCTAATTCGTAATTAGCACGATTTTGCCAAATCGTACATATTTTACAAATTAGCCAGTTCATATGAATTCGTACGAATGACCTACCCCTGACCCCGCCCCTAAACATAACCGTCACGTGGGTTTAGACAAATCGTACAAATTCGTACAAGTGAGGTCATATGAATTAGTATGAATTAGCCACTTTTGAATCACTCGTACGAATTCGTACGAATTGGTCGTGAGATAACGTAGAAATCACTGACACTGATAAGATGGAAGATACTGCAACTTAAAGTCCTTATATAACATCCATCTTTCAAATGTATTTTTGTGGTAAACTCTAAAAGCAAAAATCAAGTCTTCCTATGCTTTTACATTATATATACACTCTAAAAATTGCTGTGTTGTTTTAACCCAATTTTGGGTCAAATATGGACAAACCCAGACATTGGTTACGTTTTTTAATTACATGTTTAACCCAATGTTTGAGTTTGTCCATATTTGACCCAAAATTGGGTTAAAACAACCCAGTATTTTTTAGAGTGTATATACATACACACACACACACAAACACATTCGATTTGATGCTTATATCCAAAGCATTTTACAATGTATTCTATGTATGCATTATAAGAATCAAATGCAATAAATGTCATTTAAATGTATTTAAAATGACACTCTAAACAATGTTGTGTTGCTTTAACACAAATTTGGGTCAAATCTGGACAAACCAAAATGCTGGGTTAAAAATTGTAAGTACAAATTTTAACTCAACTTCAGCTTTCCCTTTCAACTGTACATTTTTTAATTACATTTTTAACCCAACATTTGGGTTTGTCCATATTTCACCCATATTTGGGTTGAAACAACCCAGCATTTTTTAGAGTGTATGTAATTTAAATGTAATCAGAAAATTAAAAGAATTTCACTTGCCAAGCATGGGAAGTCTAGTACAGCTGACAGGCACATAAAGTGGTAAATAACGTCTTTCTTCATATGGATAGTGACATGTCATAAGGACATGCTGATAGATAAGGGCATTCAGGTATACAGCTGCCACCTCATTCAATAATGTTTGTGCTTTGAAGGTCAATATGTTATTTCCTTGCCGTGTTTACAAAGATGGTAGGTTTGGTGATGGACGCGTGCGAACAGCTCATAAGACGTCCAGCCAGTCTCCCAGATGATTGGAGCTCACATTGAGTTTATGAGCAACGGTTGAGTCAAATGAAAAGCACCGGTGTCTGTAAGTAAGTGCAGTTTATTCTCATTTTCAGTGTAGCTGCTCAAAGGTGTGAGTCAAGTCCAATTCAGGAAAACAACCTAAATAAGAACTGATTCAGAGTGGGTTTTATTTAAAGGGATAGTTCACTTTGAAATTAATTTTTGATATGTTTTAGCTTACCTCAAGGGCACCCAAGATGTCGTTGTCTTTGTTTCCACAGTATTTTCAATTTTAATATTTTTAGGTCAAACCGTTCTTGTCTGTCAGTCATATAATGGAGGTCTATGGTCACCACCTCAAAGAGCATGCACAAAGAAGTCCAAATTAAACATGAATTAATGACAGTATTTGTATCTATTTTACCTCTTGTAATCACAGTAACGTCCAAGTACTCTGAGGGCGAGGGCCTGCACAAGCGCTAGAATGTGTCGGAAGTGATCTCTCGCACATGTACGTCACTCATTGTTTAAAACAGAAATTTCGGAAGTGTTATACTGTGAAGATCTAAACATATGTAGATATACAGGAAATTGCAATGGAAGACGATTTCGATGTATCAACAGACAACGTTGATTTTTTTTCCGCAACCGCTCAAGAAATCACTTCCGGCGATTGCGCAGAACGAAGCGCCCGTGCCTTCAGATCACTTGGACGTGGCTGTGGTTACAAGAGGTAAAAACAATATAAATACTGTTCGTTTTCTCACACAAACCGCTCGTTTTGTGTCTTAGGCCATCAATGTGTACTTACATGTTTAATTTGGACTTCTCGGTGCATGCTCTTTGAGGTTATAGACCTTCATTATATGGCTGACAGACAAGAACGGTTTGACCTAAAAATAGCAAAATTGAAAATACTGTGGAAACAAAGACACCTACATTTTGGATGCCCATTGAGGTAAGATAAAACATATCAAAAATTAATTTCAAAGTGAACTATCCCTTTAATGCACAAAAACTGTATCTTTCTTGAAAAAGAAAAGACAAAAAAATATTTGAACCAGCCTCAGCTGAACCACAGTTGAGAAAATCCAATAGATGTTCTGTGCAGATTTGTATAGGTGAAATTATTAAAGTCCTTGACGCATGACCAAACACCTGTAGAGCCAAGTTGGACCTTTATTAATCTTTATTCCCTTTGAAAATGTCCTCTATTGTGTCCTAAGCTCAGGGTCTGTGGAGTGTTCAAGGAATTACATTTTTCATGAAAATGTCCAGTCCAACACAACCTAAAAACCTTGAAAGAAATAAAGTACCGCAACGGTCAATTTTTACAATGAAACTATAGTCCAAATCTTGACAGAATGACTCAAACACAACTGTGAAACTTAAATCAGTGAAGTAATATGGCAATTTGATTGGGGGTAGTTAATTACACATTAATTACACACCCTCATGTCCTTCCTAACCCGTACGACTTTCGTTCATCTTGTTTTCTGAAGAGACTCGCTCACTTTATGAACAGATTTAGGCTTTCATTCCTTTTGAATCGTCAAAGCGGTAGTTGCGTAGACTGTCAATGAAGGGACAGAAATCTCTCAGATTTCCTCAAAAAGATTTTAATTTGTGTTCTGAAGATGAACGAAAGCAGGTTTGGAATGACAAAGGTGAGTCATTGATTTTCATTGTGCTTTTCCTGAAATAGCGTCGAGTTTGTTTTCATCTCGTCTTCGGGAAACTCGCTTGACCTTTGACATGTTTTGGCCCGGAGATGGCAATAAGCTGCTTGAACTATTACAAGCGAAATCCTCATTTCTACAGACTTAGTCAAGTGTTGACTACCCATTCTTCCCATCTCGCATGTAACCTCTGAAAGCCCTTTGCACAGTCTTTTTACTCTTTCACTTTTGCCTTAATCTCCCACCCTTTACTTTCTGGAAGTGAGCCCATCTTCAGATCATTCAGCCCTTTTTGACATTGAAAGCAAATCATTTAAAAAAAAAAAAAAAGAGCAGGAAGGAGCTCTCAAAGCGACTCCTTTGTCGGAATTATCGTCGGGTGAGAGGAGCAGAGGGAGGAGTTGGTGGCGAACGTGGGATGTGGAT